GCTCGCTTCCTTGGGCCCGAGGACGTTTGCGCTGACTCGTGCTGCGGATGGGTCGGACGTGTCGGCCGTTTGTTGACATCGGCGTCCGCCAAATGGCCCGCACGTCACCTTCCTTGACCCCTCCCGACTGCACGGGGGATCTCGGCTCATTTGGAGCATGCAGTCGCGTGGCTCCCCCGTGGCCTGACTTCCGAGTACTCGAGGACCCTAGGGCACACGGGTCCTTGACGGGAGGGGAATGGAGATGGCAGTATAGCTCAAAGACAGTGGGTACATGACCAGATAAGTCCGTGACTGTGACAGGAGAATGCTTACTTTGTCTTTTTTGGTGTGTATTTTAAAATGATTCAAGGGGTACACATGCATGTTCTAAGGAACATGGACATCTCGTGTGGTGGTGAAGATGAGGTTTCAGGTGGCCCATTCCCCAGATATTGAATATTGTGCCCATAGTTTATTTCTGAACCCTAGCCCAACTCCCCCTGTCCCCTTATTGGTGTCTCCAGTGTCTATTATTTCCATCTTTACTTACAAAGTCCTTTTATGTATTCTGAGTTGGGGTGTCACTCTGTTATCCAGGCTGGAGTGCAGTGGCACGGTCACAACGATCATGGCTCACCGCAGCCTCAATCTCCCAGACTCCGACCATTCTCCCTCCTCAGCATCCCAAGTAGCTGGGACTACTGGCATGTGTGCCACTCCACCGGCTAATTTTTAAAACCTTTGTAGAGATGAGGTCTCGATATGTTACCCAGGTTGGTCTCTAATTCCTGGGCTCAGTGTGCCCACCTTGGCCCCCCAGAGTGCTGGGCTTACAGGCATGAGTCACTGTGACTGGCCAGTTTTTCGAAAAAAGCATATTTGTAGCAGCCGGACTCAGTGGCTCAGCCTGTAACCCCGCGCCTTTGGGAGGCTGAGGTGAGTGGATTGCCTGAGCCTGCGGGTTCGAGAACCGCCTGGACAGCGAGACCTCATCTCTACAATAAATCAAAAATCAGCTGGGCGTGGTAGCATGCGCCTTTAATTCCGGCTACTCAGAAGGCTGAGGCGGAAGGATGGCCAGAGCCCAGTAGGCGAGACTGCGGTGGCCGGGAGTGGCCACTGCACTCCAGTCTGGGCGACCGAGTGAGACTCCAACTCAAAAAAAAAAAAAGAATATTTGTAGCCAGCCACGGTGGCTCACATCTGTAATCTCACTTTGGGAGGCAGAGGCAAGAGAATTGCCTGAGCCCAGGGATTCAAGACGAGCCTGGGCAAATTGGAGAGACCTGTCGCTACCAAAAAGAAAAAAGAAAAAGAAAAAGAAAAAGAAAACACACTGGCTGGGGGGAGGGGAGCACCTCAAGTGACTGAGGTCTACACCTCCTGTTGAAGAGGGTGGAGAAGTGTGTGTTAATGGGTGTCAAAAAAGCAGGGCAGGGATGTGTTTTTGTCGTGGGGTGTGGAGGGTTGTGGGTGAAAAGTGGGCAGAAAACGTGTTGAAGGGTGAGCATCAAAGGATACAGCTGGGGAGTGTGGAGATTGGAAATAAATGGGGGGGGATGAGCTGTGTGGAAGGGGAGCCTTGGTTTGGGGGATGCTAGGGTCAGGCTGGTGGCGAGGTGACTTCAGTGGGAGTGCTGCATCTCTCTCTTTGCAGGAACGGAGCTTTGACTGCAAGATCTGTGGCAAGAGCTTCAAGAGGTCATCCACACTGTCCACACACCTGCTCATCCATTCAGACACCCGGCCCTACCCCTGTCAGTACTGTGGCAAGAGGTTCCACCAGAAGTCAGACATGAAGAAGCACACCTTCATCCACACGGGTGAGCCGAAGGCCCCTGGACCCCAGGAAACAGCCCGAGGCCAACATCAGTTGCCTTCTCTGTGATATTCGGCCCCGGTGGGTGGCGGATGACGCCTTTCCCACGGTGTTGATCACTGCTCTGTGTTAAAGAAAACCAAGAGGCAGGTTCTCTTAAGTTCGTTTACAGACATGCTCTCCCCAGAGCAACCTTGATTTGGGGTCAGTATGCCAGGTCACTTTCCTTAGAAGTCATTTTTTCCTCTAGTTCCACAGCCTCTTCCACTGGTGCTGGGTCTAGGTGAAATATGAAGCTGCACATTATCTCAGAGTGTAGCTCTCAGTGTTTACCTGGAGACTGAGGCCCTTTGCTAGCTACCCAGGCTTTTAGGGGCAGGACTCATGTGTGGCCTCTCTGGCTGCATTTGTTGGAGTCTGAGAGATGATCCTGACTGAGGATGAGAAAACAATGTTAAGGGCTCACAACGCATCTGAGAGATAGACACCATTCCTTATCCCCATTTTAGGGATCTGAAAAGTGAGGCACATTAGGACTAGGTAACTCGCCCACTGTTAGCAAGTGACAGGTCTAGAGCTCAAAGGCTGGTCTGCCTGACCTCTCAAATATCTGTGCTCTTGACCACTGTTTATTGTATCCCACTTGCCAAGTGCCGGGGGTTGGCAGATACCAAAAGCTTCTATCACTCATTCCCACTTGTTTGAATGTTGACATGTTCAAAGTTTCAGCAAACTCCTGCCGTAATAGTAATTCCTTACTATGATAATGCTTTGTAATTTGCAAAGGGCTTTTAAATCTGTCATTTCATTTGATTCTTACTGACATCTTATAAAGTAGGAGCTGCTCTTTCAATCCTGAAACTCAGAGAGATGGAATGATTTGCCAAAAGTCAGGCTGAGTAAATCATGGAGCCATGGACGCTCTGGCTTCCAATCCTGGACTCTTTTCCTCACACTTTATATGCAGGTGGGGGGTGGTTTGTTTGTTTGTTTGTGTTGAAGTCTTACTCTGTCACGCAGGCTGGAGTGCAGTGGCATGCTCACATCCACTGCAGCCTCAAACTCCTGGGCCCAGGTGATCCTTCCACCTCAGCCTTCCAAATGGCTGGGAATGCAGGCACGAACTGCCATGCCCAGCTAATTTTTTGATTTATTGTAGAGACAAGGTCTCACCATGTTGCCCAGGCTGACCTCGAACTCCTGGGCTCAGGTAGTCCTTTGGCCTCAGCCTCCCAAAGTGCTGGGATTACAGGTTTGAGCCACCATGCCCGGCCAGGTAGGGATTTTAAATGCTAGGATCACTCTCTTTAATAGTCAACAAACCATTTACATGAGACCTAGAACTCCTGACAATTTTATTACAGAATATGAAATCTGATTTGAAACAAATCACAGTGTGTTCTAAACATCCATCACTGATGATTATAACTATTCTTGGGCAATGTATATATTCCCATTAGAAAACCCAGGAAAATATCTTACTTTAATCATTCCCTCTTAACCTGAAATTTCCATGTAATTCACTCCTTATAAGTAAAGGTATTCAGGACACTTATCAGAACGCAACTAGGATCTTGACTGAATAAAACATTAAGCCCTTATCAAACATTTACATTATAGCTAGAATTCGTTTCTCAGATTTGTTTGACCCTAAAGGGATAGGGTAAGTTTTGATGAGTGATTCCTTATCAAGGAAATCTGAAGCATGAAAACAGAAAGGAGTGCAGAAGGAGGGACAGAGGATTCTTCAAAGACAAACTTCATCTGTTTTCCATTTTTTCAAGGCTGAGCCCAACTGTAATGCCATGCTGGGGCTATTTGGAATGTCATGCCGTTTACCCAAATGTTAAACAACATGAGATGGAGAGAGGTCAAAATCTTTTCGTGTTCTGTCTGTTATTTATTAATTTGTGGTGAAGAATCGTTGGTATCTAAAGAATACTGTGATTAACCTCACAAAAAGACAACAAAATCAAGACAGAAAAGGATCAGAAATAGATTAAGATTAAGATTAAGAAATACCTTGTGGCCCAAATGTGGATTTTTACAATAAGATATTCTGCCTGGTGCAGTGGTTCCTGCCTGTCATCTCAGCACTTTGGGAGGCAAAGGTGGAGGATGGCCTGAGGCCACGGGTTTGAGACCAGCTTGGGTAACTTGGCGAGACCTTGTCTTTATAATAAATCAAAAAATTAGCCAGGCATGGTGGCGCACTCCTGTGGTTCCAGCTACTTGAAAGGCTGAGGTGGAAGGGTCACCTGAGCCCAACAGGATGAGGCTGTGGTGGTTATGAGCGTGCCCCTGCTCTCCAGCCTGGGTGACAGTGAGACTCCGACTCAAAAAATAAACAAATAAAAATAAAATAAGATATTTAAAAATGTCCAAGAGCAAGAAAGAAGACAGTCCCTGGTCCATATGCACTAACAGCCACTAGGCAATTCAGATTTGAAAACTTCCTCTGAATGAGAGCAGTCCCACGGTTGTAGGCCAGCTTTCCTCCTCCCCCTCCGGTCGAACATCTGCTCCGGGTCTTCTCGGCTTTTAAGTCAGGGGAGTCCTCCCGTGGTGGATTCAGCTGGGGAGGGCACATGGCCTCTGCAGCGTTTCCGTTTAGCAGGAAACGGTTTGAGGCCTTTGGCTGGGAACCCCCACTCAGCAAGTCTCCCTCTCACCTGGTGCACCCGTGGCTTCCTGGGACTCGCGTTGCAGGCTGGGAGGCAGTGGTGCCATGCTGTCACCCTCCAAGTGGCTTGAAGGCCTTAGACTGTGGTACAGCCAGCTGCTGCCAAGAGCCTGTGGGTCATGG